CATATCGTTTGTTCATCTCTTTTTCCATCATTCTTAATATTTTTTACCATCCAACTTAGCATCAAATTTTATTCTTTCTATTACATGGTGAATAAATCATTTGATAAAACAATTTTGTTCTACATTAACTTCATAAGAAATCATCCAATATAGCACCATTAAGAAATACAAAACACATATCTAGCACTCCCATCCAATTTACACTTTTATAGCACCTCATATGTGTTTCTCATAATCAATATCCCCATTTTACCCTTTTGTTTTCGGTTTCTACCCCTCAACTGCGCATTTGGAGAAACCATTTCGCGCACTTCCCCTCATCTGCGTAAATTCAGGAGGAAGTTAATCATCAGCCGTTACAACCTCATCTCCCTATTACGGTGCTGAACAAAAAACAATGATCGTCATCCCCTGACCTTCGAAACCAGAGATCCGTAGGCATCGTCTTTACCGGATTCAGTGCCAGACACACTCTAGGGTTCATGTTATACAGTCCAAGTCCAGATTGAAGCGAAGCATCCAAATTAATAGCTGCAGAGATTCGCCGGAAGCATTCGTCGCCCACTGCCTCAACCGAGACACTCACATTTTGTTTCAGGTTTAGTCTCTATTTCATATCGTTTGTTCATCTCTTTTTCCATCATTCTTACTCCGTAATACTCCGTATTTTTTACCATCCAACTTAGCATCAAATTTTATTCTCTTTCTATTACATGTTGAATAAATCATTTGATAAAACAATTTTGTTCTACATTAACTTCATTATATGTACACAATTTGGTTTACATAATGTTTTACACATTTGCTCTCCTCTGGTACTACCCTTAAAATGTCATTTTGATTTTGAGATGCAAACAAAATGTTTGTCTTTCAACCCCTAAATGCATTTTTTTAGTGGCCAACAAACAGCCTCTTCAATTTCATCATTTGATCTTTCTCGATGGTTATGCTTCTCCGGAAGCACTATCTAAATAAATGATGGTAATAGTATAAAACTAATGTGATTCCTCTTCTTTGATTCAAGTAGTATATGTGCGCTTAAATTAATTATGAGTATTAATTTTTTTGGATACATTCATTCGTCGTGATATCAAAAATTGAAAAAAATGTTTATGTGGAAAAAATATTACTACATCAACATTTGATATCAATATTAACATTTGTTATGATAAATTTTTTTATTACTTTATATTATGATTATAAAAAAGATAGAATTTATTTTGAATAGAAATAGGTAACAAAGAGTAAAAAAGGTAATAATTGCAGTGGATGCAAAACACTACACATATGAAGTGAGTGAGATAGTGGATACAATCAGTATTGATGTTGATCAATATCAATATTGATATTGTGTTAAGTAGTTATTAATTTAGAGTAAATGTTGGTGGAGTGCTACAATTAGCTCAATGAGGATGTGAATTTTTACCACTATGGTAATGATAAACCCTTTTTTTACTTTTATGACATTCGATTTTTACATCACTTTATTTTTTGAAGGAAATGATAATCACATTAATTCAAAAGAGGAACAATAAAGTCCAGGGGGCTAGGCTCCCAAGCACCACGTTGAGCAACCGCCCGATGGGCTAACAAAAGAGCAACCTCCAAGGGCTAGGCACCCAAGCACCACATTGAGCAACTGCCCAATGGGCTAACAAAAGAGCAAACTCATACAACTCTCGACAAACATGGGCAATACGAATTGAACCACAAAAAAAGGATAAAGATGACACACACTCCTCGATGATCAAACTAAAGTATGAGCAAAAATCAGTGGCTTGGTTAATGGCATTCACCACGACACCACCAATAGATGTTGGAAAAAAGCTTCACCTCCAAACATGCATCTCTCTTAACAAAGACAAAGCCTTTCGAACCCCGACTACTTCTGCCATATGAGGATCTTGAGAACAAGCAAGAGTACCATTACAAAGTGGACTAAATAGGAAAACCACTTGTTATAAAAATCAATTATAAAATTTACTCCAATATATTTATAGTATTAAAAAGTGGGCCTAATGCAAAAAAAAAAAAAATACACATCCAAGTCCATGAAAAATGTGAAGATGTCCACTTATTAAATGTGGACCTCAGGAAAATAGTGGCTTTTCATAGAGCTAATTCCTTTGTTCTTAAAATATTACCACAGTTTGATTTTTTAGTCAAAGTGTGACACCCTCCATTTAAAAAGATAAACATAATTTTACTAAATTTACATAATAACAAAATACACTTTTCCATAATTAATGTTCCAGGAGTAAGGTTTCCATGGCATAGTCCGCCAATGTCATGGGATGACCCAGGGGTGCTCCGGTGCCTCGTTCGTAAAATTGACGTTCCTACCTCCTAACTCCTCCGGTAAACTCCCACCCCGCCCTGACTCGAACACACCCCCACCACCTTCAATTGCACTCCGCAAGTTGATTTTGACTTTGGAGTTAAAATTTGACTCTAAAGTCAAAATCAACTTGTGGGGTGTAATTGAAGAGGGTAGGGTGTGTGTTCAGGTCGGGGCAGAGTGGGAGGTTTACTGGGGGGTTAGGGGGTAAAAATCATCAATTTTACGAACGTGACAACGGAGCGACTCCGGGTCATCCCATGACATTGCCCGGAGTGTCCCGGGTGATGTTTGATTATATAATTAAAATAAGAGCAATGTTAGGGGTACACCAAAGGTGTACCCCATTTGTTTCCCACCCCTTTCTCCACTACTTATTTTTACCCCATTTTTATTTATTTAATTTTTTTAAAATATCTTGCCTATATTTGTGGTAATGAAAGGAGTGAGGACAAATAAAGTACATCTTTAGTGTACTCTTAGCATTTTTTTTAAAATAATCAAATTGCCAATTTTAGAAAGTACCCATTTTTTTACTTTTGCTCCATCTCGGGGCCGTGGGTTTCTCTCTCCTCTATTTCTTGAAATAAAACCCTATCTGCAATCCAAATTCCCCTTCCCCTCTTTCTGCTTTTCTTTGTCTGTATAATCAGATCCGTCGATAGGATCCATTCATCGATTTGTCGTTAATCGCCCCGTTCTCGCGCAATCAAATGCGAAGACATTCGAATCTCTCATTTTATTTCTCCCCATCTTCCAATCTTCTCTGAGAGGCTCTCACTGCTTCCCAATTTCTTTCTATCTTCATTCCAGTTTTGATTTCTCTGTTCTTCTTCTTGAAAATTTGGGATTTTCGGCCGGGATAGAAAGGCTGGCGATTGTTTCGCGTATTTGGTAATGGCGGAAGCGCCTCCTGCCCGCCTCAGGTCTATTCTCGTCTTTGCTTCCCAATTTGAAGAGTCAGTTTGTGTGGGCGAAGGTGGTTGTGGTTATGAAGTGAGTTCTTTAACTTTAGAACCAGTGAGAAAAGTGTGGACTGATCTGCTTATCCCAGAATGGTGACTGTGGTGCGAGTGCATCTCCCCTCAGAGATACCCATAGTAGGATGCGAACTTACGCCTTATGTTCTTTTGCGTCTGCCCGATAGTTCTGTAACTCCGGATGATGTTCCCGAGTCCTCCCCCATCAATGGCCAATTCTTGAGATACAAGTGGTCAGTTAATCATTCTTTGTACCCACTGCCTTAAAAATATTTTGTTTTAACCCTGTTAGATGTTTATTTTTCTGTTTTTTCCTTCTAACAAAGTAGTTTGCTTGGTTTTGTCCGTTTATGTGCTCTTTATGTGATTTGGTGCTGTTTAATCTCTTGGAACAGTTTCTCTATTTCAAAGTATATGGAAGTGTTTTGGATCAATCTGTAAGGGCAATGCTTTGTGTTTGACAAATTGCCAATGATATTTTGTATACAAAAACGTTGCGTTGTTTACATATAAGCATTCAATTTGTTCTTTGTTCTATATATTGCAACTTTTCTTACAAGATAAGCGAATGTTGTTAGCTGTTGAAAATCTCGCCAGGGTTTTGTGATGTTTCATTTTTTAATGAGATGCTTTATATGTTATAGACTAGTCTATCTAATGACGTAACAATTCATATTGGTATATGGTTGATTACTGATTATGGATAAAGTTGAGGATAGATTAAGGATATATAGATGGATTGTACCTATTGTATTTTCTGGGTAGGAACTAAGAATATGAAAGGTTAATGCACCATTGATCACTGTGATGATGGATTAAATAAGGCTCAAATTTGTTGTATGCCTCCCTACCTAGTGGGGCCATGAATCCCATGGATTGCATATTCGATCCTCCTCACAATGCCCTTACCTTTTGGAAATAAATGGGGTAAACAATTTGAAAACTGATGACTAAGATGATATTACAAAACTGAACTGGTAATATGTTGAAGAATTAAGAGATTGAATTCTATGGAACCAAGAATGTACATGGGTATGCACTTTGAAAATGCCTACTTGTGATTTTAATGTTATTACCCTTTGGAAGTAAATGGGAAAATTGGAAAAATTTAAGTCTGTCCAGTTTCACATGGAATTGTATATTTGCATCTCATTTCACCAGTTAATTTTACAATTTCAGTTTCGTAATGGGACATATAAACTTATTACCTATCTCAAGTTGACAACTCATTGTGGTCTTGTGGTTTCCATGCAAGCGAAATGGTCTATGACAATGAAAATTTTAAAATGTTATAGCATCATTAATTTGCAGGAAGGTTGTGAATGAAATGTTATCTAGTGTGAAACGCCGCCACAATTTTTTACTTTTTTGCATGAATTGGTAGCATTAACTACTTAGCTATTAACTAATTTTAGACAATCAATTTGTATAGATTTCATGCCACCAACCCCAAATAGGTGGGAGTTCGGACTTCACTTAGTATTAAGGTAATTGTGTGTTTAATTTTCATCTATATATGCTGGTGGGAGGTTTAGTGAATATTATATAGGTAACCATACAGAATACGTTTTATACCCATATGATCATTAGTAATTGTGGGTTTAAGAAATGCAGTAGTGATGGTTAAGGCAGTCAATAGCAATGAAATTGGATTCAAGTGGTAGATCCACACTATGCATATGTTATATGTAGTTGCTTCTTATTCCCAATTTTGTATACTAGTTAGTAGTCCCCATAAAGGATTTCCTCCTACACAAATTATATTATTTGGGATTCAACTACAACCACTGCACCAAGTGACATGTTTGATTCCAAAAGAATTATCATGCCTTTTATATAGTATCTTGGAGATGCTTATTTTTGCAAAGGTGCCCGTGATTATATATTTATATGGTTGTTTATACTTGCCGTGTAAATTTCCCACCCAGTTTGGAAAACATACCCTTAAGAAAAAAAGCAAACTATAGCTAAGTGATTGTTTTTTTTCTCTGCAACGGACTTTCATTGAGTAGCTTTATTAAATATCTTATATCTGATATTGCCTTGTAGTATGAGATAAATCTCATTGATAATTTTTTCTGGATGGTTGGTTTAACATGTGCTACTTGGATTGACATATAATTACAATTGTTTGGAGCCATTTACAGGTATCGAATACAAAGTGACAAGAAAACTGCCATCTGTAGTGTTCATCCATCTGAGCAGGCTACATTACAGTGCATTGGATGTGTGAAAGCAAAAATTCCTGTCGCTAAGAGTTACCATTGCTCCACTAAGTGTTTTGCACATTCATGGCCACATCACCGTAGTTTGCATGAACATGCTGCTAGTGCTGTCAATGACCACACAAATGAGGATGAAGAAGTAGTATGCTACAACAACACAACAACTTTGCATCCATCACAATCTGCTTCTAGCTTGGCAAATGGCACAACACCTTTATATCCATCATCAGTTGCACAGAGGAATGGTGGTGAAGCCTGGGTTGAAGTTGGACGGCTTAAAACATATACACCAACAACTGATGATATTGGCCATGCCCTTAAATTTGAATGTGTTGTTTTAGATGCAGAAACCAATCTTTCAATTGGACTGGCGAATACTATATTGACATCTCGTGTGATTCCAGCTCCATGTCCTACACCACGCCGCTTAATTTCAGTCAGAGAAGGTGACGTTTCAGCAATTCCTGATTTGGGTGGCCGCATTTCATCTTCTGGAACATTTACTGTGCTCTCGTACAATATATTATCTGATTCATATGCCACAAGTGAATTATACAGTTACTGCCCATCTTGGGCCCTTTCTTGGACATATCGTAGACAGAATCTATTGCGTGAAATAACTGGCTATCGTGCTGACATTGTTTGTCTTCAAGAGGTACACATGATGGTAGATTTTTGGAAGTTAGTTCAGTCTTTTAAAGCATAGGATCTATATACCGCTTCTGTCCCAAAATGAAGTTTGCAATTTGACTTCATGGATTTTTAAGGGAAGTGTTGAAAAGTAAAAAAGTGTGGTTGACATTTGTTTAGAAGAGAGGAAATTTGTGGGAGATGTTATTTTCCTTAAAAGGAAAGAAAAGAAGTCTAATATTTATTTTGGAGCCTCCAAAAAAGAAGTGTAAACTTCATTTTGGGAAGGAGGGAGTATATGTGAATAGTTTGGAGATTTCCAAATGGTATGTTCATGATGCAATATTTATGCCACCTAATTTTATTGTCCACTAGAAATCTTTTTTCACTTTAAATATTGACCAAATGTACATGCCATTGTCACTTCTTACTCCTCCAAGTAAATTTTATTGATAAATGAGCATTTTGAATCTCCCTTCTGTCATGCATCATTCATTCATTCCCTTTCAGGTTCTAAGTGATCATTATGAAGAGTTCTTTCGTCCTGAACTGGACAAACATGGCTATCAATCTTATTTCAGAATGAAAAGTTGTGAGGTTAGTTATATTGATGAAATGTTATTAATCTAAAAGATCGTTGCATCTATGAGCTGATATAACTTTTGTTTGCAGGGGTATGGTAGAAGTATGAATAGTGTTGATGGCTGTGCTACTTTTTTTCGACGGGATAGATTTTCGCACGTTAAGAAATATGAGGTATAAAAAGCCTAGAAGTAGCTGAATGCTGAGGTAATTTTTGCTTTCTTAATTTTTATGCTTTGCGCAGGTTGAGTTTAACAAAGCTGGGCAATCATTGGCTGATGCTTTAGCTCCCAGTGTTCAAAAGAAAACTGCTTTAAGTCGTTTGATCAAGGTATCAAAATTAATTAATCAAGTGGAGTTGTGTACAGCTATGGCTTTTAGATGCATGTTATTCTGTCTTGCTGACTTGTTCTGTATATTATTTATACACACCATTGCATTCTGTCTTGGTAGGTTATTCTATCTATGTTAATTGGCTCTAATACAGGATAATGTGGCACTCATTATGGTCCTGGAGGCAAAGTTTGGTAACCAGGGTGTTGATAACCCCGGAAAGCGCCAGTTAGTATGTGTGGTAAGTATTCTTATACATATCCCTGTGCATGTTATAGGCTGGTTTACTTGGATTTTTGCGTTATATAATAAGATTAATAACTTATTCCTTGCACAGTTACACATGATCCCTTTTGTATAACACAGGGCTGATCCGTTATTATATGAGTATACTTTAATATTATGAATATCTAGTAGATACTTCCTCTGTTCTTTAAATACTGCCTAATCGGAATTTTACACTAATCGTGCTCTCCATTTTGATCATCTTGTTGTGATTTAGATTAAAGAAACAGGCATGTAGGGTCTTGTTTGATCCATGATCCGTTTCAATTTAAAATTTCATATTATCAATTTTTCAAATTTATATTAAAGCACATTTGAAGATATTAATGATTTAATTTGTGCAATTGCAAGCACAAAATTATAAGTGTTGCATTATTTATAAAAAGAGGAAATACTTTGCTAATTTATAGGGCTTTTGTGGATTTAAATGTTGTTTGTTACTTAAGGTCTAGAGTGGTTGAATATGCTGAATTTAGGGTCCGTTTGGAAAACAGGAAAGTGGCTTCCAGAAAATGTTTTTTGGAAAATGAGTTATTTTCCGGAAATTATTTTCCTTTTCTGATGTTTCGCTATAAGTCTGAAAATTGTTTATTTCTGTTTGGTTTAAATCCAGAAAATGAGAACCCAAAAAATGAATATCACAAAGAAATAGACAGAATTGCATGACCTATGAGACAAAAAAACTAAATCAGTAGAAAAAATCTCATCAAATTCAATAAAAAGTTAGATTACAGTGAAATAATCAAGCAAATAGAATAATCCGTATCAAACAAACAAATAGCAGCATCCAATTTGAGTGAAAAGTGGATTTATGAAGAGAAATAGTCAAATAGACATCATCAGATTTGAGTGAGAAGAAGATTCAAGATGGAGAAGAAGCAATGAAAAGGGAGAAGACATAGCAGCGCCTAGCGGACTTGATACACTCACTAGTGGTTGATTGTCCTGCTGTGACGGCATCTTCTTGGACTGGCGGTGTGACGGTGTCTGAGATAGGGTTTACGAATTGAAGAGAAGACGACGAGGAAGAACGAGATGGCAGAGAGGGAATGCGACTGGATGCGGCTCAGGAAACGGAATCACAAAAAGGAAAATGACTTCCGCCTTTGAGAAGGGGAAGACAAATTCTGATTTTTAGAGCTGATTTTCCATTGACCCAAGCCTTATTTTTCCTTTGACTTGAATTTTCCAATATTTCCAAACAATGAAAAATGGAGAAAGTGACTTTCCAGTAGTCATTTTCCCCATTACCAAACGGAGCCTTACTGAAGTTGTTGCATAACTGACTGAATTGGATGACTATGCCAAATAATCCACTCCCTCAGGCTCATTCTTTTCTGCTGGAGGGAGTGAATTGAATTACTCAATACTTTCTTTAAAGGGAAACAACTACAAACAGCAACCAACAACGTACCGAGTGGAGTCTCATGCAGTAGGGTCTCTAATATTGGAAACAAGTTGGGACAAGCGGAAAAGAAAAAATGCACTATATAGCAATAAAATACCTCAAAATATATATGCTAAATAAATCAGAAAATAATAAGTAAAATGAAGATAAAAATGTCATTTTTCTACAAAAGAGTAGATGGGCTATAACATTTTGTGGGATGTCACTTTTCTAAGAGCATTAATTTAGTGTTATTTTGGTTTGATGCAGGCAAACACTCATGTGCATGTTCCACAAGAGTTGAAGGACATCAAGCTTTGGCAGGTGATCATAACATGCCTTTTGTGACAGTGACACTTTTACTTTATTATTTGGAACAGATCTGATTATGAATGTCTTTAATAATCAGGTTCATACACTTTTGAAAGGACTGGAAAAGATTGCTGCTAGTGCTGATATTCCAATGTTGGTCTGTGGTGATTTTAACTCGATACCTGGAAGGTCTGTCATTTTTACGTCCTCCTTTTTCCTACAGGACATTGCTCAATCATTGATTAGCTATATTGATACATGGAATGCATCTGTTGCAGCGCTCCTCATGCACTCCTTGCAATGGGGAAAGTTGATCCGATGCACCCAGATCTAGTAGTTGACCCTCTTGGTATTCTTCGCCCAACATCCAAGTTAACACATCAACTGCCACTGGTATTGATTCCATATGCTGAAAGACATATTGCTTTTTTTATATGTTTCTTTACATGCACATAGCTCATGCACTGCCTCCACCTCTGCTTTTAATGATTGAAAACCTACTGCAATTAGAATTTTAGAATTGTTAATTTGTTATTTCTTCAGTTTTTTCCCGAATACTCTTTTGTTTAATAAAGATCCTTGTTTGAGTATGTTACAACTTTTTTTAATCAACTCAATCAAGGTACATGCTTTAACAAAGTACTGTTAAGACTTCTGCGCATGGATGGTCATTTATACTCCTAAAATTTATTTTCAAGCTTGTTTGAGCCAATGGATGGCTGACTTTTTAAAGTGGATGTCTTTTTGGGTGTGGAAAAAAATTTCTTGAAAGAGAAATGGGACATAGAGAGTACTTTAAATGAGTTTAACTTGCTTCTTGTTGTGGTGTCATTTATAGGTAAGTGCTTACACTTCCTTTGCTAGAATGGAGGGTGGTCTTGGAAGCGAGCGCCACAAGAGGAGGATGGATCCTATCACTGAGGAGCCCTTGTTTACGAATTGCACTAGAGACTTCATTTCTACTCATGATTACATATTCTATTCAGGTATATAATTCTTATAAATAACTGAGGCACATGTTAGTAGATGATTGGTTCTATGAGCAAATTATAATAAGAAGTTGTGCAGTGAGAATTTCCACTGGTTTACCAAATGGGGGCCTTATTAATTCGACTTTTCTGTTCTCATTTTGAACAAAAGTCATTACTCATTTTCCAGTTTTTGTGTGTGTGTGTGTGTGTGTGTGGAGGCTGATGCACAATGATATTTTGATATGTTGTTTCAGCGGATTCATTGACTGTTGTGTCATTGTTGGAGCTTCTAGACGAGGATAGCGTGAGAAAGGACACAGCACTACCTTCTCCAGAGTGGTCTTCTGATCACATAGCCCTATTGGCCGAATTTCGCTGCAAACCAAAGCAGAAACACTGATGCTTGGTAGGTGTGAATCGCCCTAATTTTTCTCCCTTCAAAATCAGATAACCCAATGTTAAGAACAACACTCAAGAACTCGGGATCCTATAAATTTACAACAACCTAAATTCAAAATAAATAATTATAAGCTGTTATCACAAGTTAATAACACCCAAATAGATAGTACTCCCTCCCTCCCAAAATGACCTTCCTTATTTTCTTTTTGGGCGTCCCAAAATGGTCTTTCCATTTCCAAATTGGAAGTGTGTTTCCAAACATACACCAGCTCCATGTTCCCAAAGATCGGATCCGAGAAATTTTCAATTTAGAACGTATGCTGGTACAGTAAAAGTAATCGCAAGATCGTACATTTTTGCAATCTGAGTCACAATTTTAACAACCTTAACAACACTACATATTGGTTTAGAACATATCATCATCATCATCATCACTACCTTAATCCCAACCGGTTATGGTTGGTGTCCTGAAATATACGTGTTCTATAATGTGTGTGCAGGTCTTTTTCTACACAATGGATTTTGAAAATAGATGCAGCAGTCACGAAGAGTTTCATGTAAAAGTTACTGTAACAATAGTAGATGATGATGACTTGCTTTTGGTATCCTCCCCTAGAGGGCCCCCCATAGCTATTGTATCTTCTTTTTTGTATTATGCTGCTTTTTTCTCATAGAAGGAAAAAAAAAGATCCATGTTTTCCTTTATTCAAATAGAAGAAATATCATCTATCCAATATATATTCTCTTCCTTCTAATCTTCCAAGTTCCAAACTTGCTGCTCATAATTTGCCCAGCTCTTTAAATGCATTTTTTTGTTCCATACCTATTTTGAATGTCTGTGCACTTGAACTTGAGGCTTGTGGAGTGGACACATTTCCGGTCTCCGGTTTGATTCTCTTTCTAAGGGCAGTGTTTCTGGTTCCCTTTCTCCATCTGAGAATGAGAGCCCCAAACCATGTTTGGTAGCCAATTTTTGGCTTATTTTGCCAAACAAGAGAGCAACCCCAGTATATTTTGACTTGCTTATTTGGTTGAAATGAATGTCTTTGAATTGCATCTCACCAACTCCTACCAAATGGGCTTTGACTCTAACACCATAGTTTTGGCACCACGGTTCTTTTGACCTTAGAAAAATGATCCAGACATCTACATTGCATGATTGCTTAAATTGATGGTTTATGCCCTTCTAATCTCCTCTTAAATCCCAGCCTAGACCCCCCCCACCCCATCCCTCCCGTGGCAGTATATATTGCCAGGAGAAAGAGGAGGCTGGGGGTTAGAGTTTAGGAGAGAGTTTAGTGCGCAACATATTCCGTACAATCAGATATTTTCTCGTATATCTGTGGTGAATGCCCATTTACGAGTAATTAACTTTTTCGAACAAGTGAACATTCATTCTCGAGCAATTGAGTATTCATTTATCTTGAATTTAGTTATGCTCGAAAATGAGCATGAGTTATTCGAAAATGAGTATTTACTCATTAATGAATATTTATGCAGATTAGAAACGTCGTACATCTAGATGTATGATATAAGTATTCGAGTACGGAGTATTATGAAACGGAGCAATGTAGACATTGGGTGTCGGAACATTTTTTCGAAGGTAAGAAACAACGGTGGTATAGGTTCATGACTCGGTTAAATTATGTGAGGTGAAGATTTTGGATTGAACAATGGACTATTTGTATCGTTTCATTCATTTGGTTCCATTTTATATTTTCATTTTAATTGTAATTTTGATTATTTCTATTAGGGTCTGTTACAGAATTGATTGAATTAGAATTGAAATTCCATGGGATTCAATTCCATAGAATTGAATTCATCAATTCCAATTAATTTTTGCACTACCAATTCCAAATTCACATAATTTTTATTCTACCATACACAAGAATTGGAATTGAAGTCTTCAATTCTAATTACATAGTTTGAATTCCGTGTACCAAACGGGGCCTTAGTGATGTTTGCAATTGCAAATGTAAAAAAAAAGGAGTAAAGAATACCTAGTACTTGCTCAGAGCCTCAGAGTCGTCTCTACGTTTGGCGAATTAGGACAAAGCCTAGGGCCCCGAAATATTAAGTTTAAGCATTTCAATTGATAGGAACGGGTCAATGACTAACGGGTCGAACTGGCCAACTTGGGGTCAACGACTTGGTAATCTATAAATAAAATACTACTCTCTCTGTCCACCATAGATCTTCCCAGTTACTATTCACGGGGTCAAACTTAACTTACTTTGTTTGCTAATTTTAACCATTCATTTCATAAAATAAAATAGTATTGTCACCTCTAGTTTTGTAGAACTTTTCATGTACTTTTTTACTATATAAATTTTAATTTTAAATTCTATCTTTACAATCAAATAAATTGAATTGAAAATAAAGTCGGTCAAACCTCGTAACGCGCAATGAGAAGATCATTGGTGGACGGAGGGAGTAATATTTTATATTATATTACGGAGTATTAGATACTTTTAGTCAATAAAAGTAATTTAGTTTGTATTTTTTACTTCTTCATCTAGTTTTTAATACTCCTTATCATTATGCATATGCTATTTTGCAATTTCTATTTTTATTCTATTATTGTTTTTAGTATTAAAAGTTAATTATGTATATCTAACAAATACTTAAATAGTAAGATAATCCTCATATTTTCAACAAATTAAAGACTAGATAATGCTCTGTAGTAAGTTCTATATTAATGACATTTTAAAATTTTTATTTAGCTGATTAAAGTGATTGGAAAATAATGTAGCATATTAAATTATAATTAATATTTTAAAGATGAGAATACTATTTTAGAATAAAAATAAATACTACTATCTGTTTTTAACTTTGAACTACTCCAGAAGTTAATATAAACAAATACGGAGTATATTTATAAACATAGTCCTTTATTTAATTGTTAGAAGCCTTTCTAAATTATTTTCTAAATAATTTAAATTGCACGGTAGTAGCACATGTGGGTAACCCCCTTCTTGCAAGCCAAGGAAACCATGTTCATACTTCATACTAGTATAAATTATTGGAAATAGTGATTTTGATCTAAACTCGAGAATCAGCCTTTGTTAACCAGCTCGCTAGTTCTTTCGGGTTTGAACAGTTCGAAGCAAAAACAAATTTTAACACTAAGTCGGACCAGACTGGTGTCCTGGACAAATTGGTCCGGCCGGTCAAGTCCGGTTTTCATAGCACTGCATTAGAGAGATCCCTAACACCACTTGGTATGCTATATAGTTTCCAAATTTAGGTTCTTCTAGGACATGCAAATTATGAATTGGCATGGTACACAATGTAAATTGGATTAAATAGAGATGAATGGTTAAAAGATGGTTGAAACTCCAAAGGGTATATCCATCCAAAAGTAGAAATGAAGGAAATGAATGTCATGTTTTAAGAAGAGAAGATGCTATATAGACATGATAATACAATCTCCTTCATTTCTGTTTATTTTAGGGAAGGAAACATAAATGGTTAACAATATTCAAAATCTCTGAGAAATAAAAAAAATAAAATAATAGGGGCCGGTATGTACGAATAGTCATATTTTTTGCAGATGAAGTCATCAGTTTGTCACCACAGTCTTGCTTCTTGAAGACTCAAAACAGTTATGCTTGGGACTCTGTGCCCGTGACCGGCTTTGCATTGAGAAGCGGTTGCAGTGCCTTGACAACAATAGTCATATTTGGGCGAAAATCAGCCTCGTATTGAACACAAAGTGCTGCAACAGCTGCCATCTGAGAGGAGCCAAATGTAGAAACCTTTACACTAAGTTTGGTACAAGGAATTTGAAAGGGCAAAGAAACAAAAATCGGAGAGAAACCAAAATTTTCATAGTAAGAGGAGAATGGTTTACCTTGGCAATAGCCTTTGGGGGATAGTCATTGTTTAGCTTAGGATCCACACATTGTTTCACTTTGTCTTCGCTCAATCTTGGCGTCGCCTACAAATAACAAAAAGAAACAGATAAAAAAAATGGGAAAATGAGTAAACTAGGAGTAAAACACGGAGAAAGTATCAAAATAGGGCTCCATATTTTATATCCCCAAAATAAGAGGGCAATGCATATAACGCCAATGTATAGTACAGAGTACCAAAATATACAGTTGGATGCCACTATACAGTGTTATAAAGTCACAGTGCAAACTCCTATTTTGAAGATAAATAACATGAAACTCCTATTATGAGGAGGATAAATGCTATGTTTTACTCCTATTTGGGGTGAGTTCTTATAAAGATTGGCTGACAAAAAGAAAGACGATAGAAGAGACAAAAAAGGGTAGAAAAGTTTATGGGAGAACATATATATACCCATGTGACAAGGCTCTGTTGCCCTTTGGGCATGGTGTGATCAACTGGCTTCCTTCCTGTCAATAGTTCTAAGAGGACAACTCCGAAACTGTAAACATCACTCTTCTGAGTAATCTGTCCTGTCATTGCATACCTGCAACCGAAATTCCAAAGTATATGGTAAGCAATTAGTATAAGATTATATATACCGTTAATAACAAATTAATTGAAGAGGAAAAAAAACAAGAATTAACTCTGGAGCATGGTAGCCAAAAGTCCCCAAGACCCTTGTGGAGTGCAACCGGGCAGCTGTGTCAGAGGACTGGTTTGTCAAATTGAAATCAGCAAGTTTGGCTGTAAAATCATCAAAGAGCAAAACATTGCTGGATCTGATGTCGTGATGAACAATGGGAGGCTGAACTTTTTCGTGCAGATATTCGAGGCCTCTTGCTGCCCCATAAGCAATCTTAACTCTCTGGTTCCAAGCAAGAACCGGACCTGGCTCAGCACCTTGTACACCTTTTCTTCCTGCAATGATCATAAAAAACATCCCAATGCCTAACAATCAATCCATGAAAAACCCACATAATAATGATTACTCTCAGAAGCATACCATGGAGAACGTCATGTAAAGATCCCGAGGTTGCAAACTCATATACGAGGATCCGGTTATCTGCCTCAAGACAATACCCAAGAAGAGCCACAAAATGATCATTCTTGAGTCTTGAAACTGTTGACAACTTTAATTATAGTCAGAAAAGAAAGAAAATCGTGTTAAACAAATATATATGAAAAAAATACAAACTAACCTATGGAACTCTTCCAAGTTTGTCCATTTTAAAATGTAACCCTAGTCTTAATAACTAAGAACGTCATCAAAATTTTGACAACTTAGTTATGACTAGAAGTTAAGCAAAGATAAGTGGTGTTCAACAAAGAGTTTGTTGAGAGAATGTTTTGGTCTCAGAGAGCTTGTTTTTTAAGCTTTTTGAAAACCCTATATAGAGCTTCTTGGATCAGCTATTTTAAAGTCTGGGTTGCAAGAATTTGTTTACAAGCTTTTCGAAAACTGCTAACAAATGGTTGCCAAAAAAGGTATTAAAGAAACACACCAATACTCAATACTGAGTGAACACGACGTTTCAGTCTTAGACCGAGACCACTTCTCGACCACAGGTTGAAGAAATAACGTTGGACAACGGGTAACGAATCGCAGCGTCTCTTTTGTGCCGGCATACTAGGAAGTGGGTGGTTTCGGAAACCTGGTTTCAATGGACAATCAAATAATTCGAGCAGGTTTGCGTAATGCGGTATTTCAATGGGAAGAGCTTTTTGAGATGCTCCATTTCTCATTGCCCCAGAAGACCTCGGCGCTCTTTCACTCGCTACAACACTCCCACCAAAAGAAGGAAAATAATAAAGACGTAAACACAATGCATAGTTGAAAGATGTCGCTAGAATGACGACATATTTATTGTCTCAGTAACGAAGAAGTTAATGTTGGTCCCATGAATGCAAACACTTGAAAATCTGGGATTATATGTAGAACTCACGAAAGGTGGGATTGTTTTGCACAAAAGAACATAACAAAACATTTCTACGTTAACATCCAGTCCATTTTTTCCCGTTACTGGGGTAACGACATCCTACTCTATCCAACTATTCAAAAAATGAGATTATTTCACGTAACATCGAAAGCTGAGTTTAATTTTGGCAGACTGCAAAAAATGAGATTATTTGAGATAATCCGCAACAATACTGCCATATTACTTTATTGTAATAATGATAATGATAATAATATCATTATTCCTCCGGGTGGGGGGTGGGGGTGGGGGGGCTGTGTAGGGTAGGGAGGAGACATACCACCACCGGTGCCGCCGTGATAGGCATGGCCGGCCTTAGGAGGGGCGGTGCTTTGATTAGGCGGCGGACCGCTATAGTCCTCTAGCTCCCCACCTCCGCAACACGACATTTTATTATAGATTAAGCTTATTTATGGCGGCCGGAGCTACCCTTATTCGATCAAATCAAATCAATCGTCAGCCGGCGGCGGCTATGGTGAATCAAACAAGCAATAATGCCGACCAAATATCAATTCCTCAATTAAAATTCGCCGCTCATCATCATCATCATCATCAGCCTTAAATCTGAACAAAATTAAACGAGACCCATGGGTTTGGCCCCAAATCGAAATCGGAAAACAAAAACTGGCCTTTGATTTGAGTGGCGATAGAGATGATGATGAAATTAAAGGGACAAATTGAGAAAAAAAGACGAAGAAAAAGAAATTAAGGAATGTTTTCCTCTTTTTCTTCTCCTTTTCTTTGCCTGTGTTTCTGCTGCAAAAAATCGGGAGAGAGGGAAAATGGTGAGATTTTCCAGTTTTGCCCGAAAATCGGTTGGACGTTTTTTTCTTAACCACCCACTTTTTCTTTGGTTATTTTGTTTCCTTACTTTCCTCTCAACTCATTTTATGCTCCATTAGGAACATTTTAGTATTTAGAAAATTAGTAAATTACCATCATTAAAGTTAACACAATTTGTGAATTAAATGCATGATAATATTCACTCCGATGTGAATTCTTTTTAGTTTATGATATTTGTCTGAAATTGATTAACATTTAGTTTAACTAAAAATTGGTATAAAATTATACTCTGATAGTTTACATATTTAAAATGCACATAAAAATTTTACAAAATAAATGATGATATGATTATATTATTTTATCAAATAAGTAATAAAAATAAACAAATACGGGTAAAGAAAAGTTGGAATTTAGGAATAAATATACACATGACCATATGTTTGGATTTAAATGTTAACGAGTCGCCTTTAGTTTTAATTATTATGAAGTAAACATGTATTCTTCTATATGAGACAACATTTTTGATAAATCACGCCGAAAATGGTGAAAAGTGAATGAGATAAGTGAAATTTGCTATAAATCATTTAAATTTACTCTGATTGAATGACTCTAACCATTTTGATGTCTAAAGTTCGCTCTAACCATATAAACATCCTTTAGGGGGCGTTTGGTTCGTGCTGAGGAAAGGGCAAGGAAACAAGAAAGGGAATCAGAAGGAAAGGGAATAATTACCCCTGAATTACCTTGTTTGTTTGGTTCAGGAAAGGAAATCGGAGCGGGAGTGAAGGAATTGGAGCGGGAGGGGGAGGAAACGGAGCTCGAAGAGGAACATACCTAGGTTGCGGTGCGGATGGATGTTGTGTGCCATATTTGCAGCAATTTATTTGTGGTCTCCATCTATATTCTCAATAAACCCACCAATTTCAACATCCTTTTACTCTTCATATACCATTGAGTTCTAGTTCATCTAACATTTTCGTAATGTAGTATATGTTATGATTTTAGTGTAATATGCTATTTCATATAATTGGATTTATTTGGATGGAACGAAAAATTTCAATAGACGTTTGCAACTAATTCAGAGGTGTAGAGTGCACGCTCATTTAATGATATTACAAATTCTATAGCCGGAATCCAGGGGAGGTAGTCCTTGATAGTGAGCGTTGTTGTATTATGATTTTTTTGAATTTTATTAAACAAGGTCTAATGTGATGTACATTTGAATGTATAGTTTATCTCCAACATCCTTTAGATCTTTGCAAAAAGGAACAGAATAATTCGCGAATAAATACGACGGTTTGCACAAAATTGCTGAAGCTACTGTTCGCATGTTAACTGTTATATACATTCAAATGTTTGAGTTCAAACGTTTGAATGTTTCCATTCACATTAAGTCGTGTTGTTTCACAACAGGCACGTCCGTTTAGAATTTGCTATCTCCATATATAGAGTCAAAGGTATGCTTGAGAAATACAAAAATTCCATACTCGTTATAGATATTTATGTCTTATCCAATTGAAATATTTTGATATATCCCGAAATAACTTTAAACTAAAAACCATAGTTCAAGTAATTCATTAAGTCTATCAAGTTTCTTCGCGCTCATCGTATAACCGGCATATACCATTCATTATCTAACGCAGCTACACAATGTCTTCTTCTCTCCCAGATTTTCTGAAAGATATTTGTTCGGAAATATATATTTTATACACATTTAGTTTACCCGTTGCAACTACTCTTCTTATCTAGCTTACTCATATAATCCACTCCTCTTATTTAAGCTTACCCATTGCCAACCATTATCACCTAAGAAGCGGTAGGAGATGAGAGAAGCGATAGAATAATGTCTTTAAGATCATTCAGAATATCTTCAATCGATCTAAATATCTTCGTAAAAATATCGTCAAGCCAACAACTAGCATTTTCGTAGAAGTAATCAGTTACCTCTTATAAGTGATGTGGTAATTAAAAACTCATATTAGAAAAGATGGTTGGAAGAAGAATAAGTTATTCTAGTCTACAAATGGAAAAGCATTTGATCAACTTCTTGGGTGTATTCATTAAAAATAAAAAAAGAAAGAAGAAAAAAAGAGTAGAAGGGGGCAGAAGGATTATCTAATTTAATACGGAGTCATTTTCCGCGCCCATGATAAATCAAAATCAAAATACAAAATCCTCCAAAGCCGCAACTCCCCGCCGGCAGGAATTCTCCTCCGGCAACTATGGCGGACGACGGCCAGAGAAGTATAGATCTAGTCAAAGAGCTAGTCCACCGTTTACTCTGCACCTCATTACAGTCTGCCGCCACTTCCGCAGGCTCTAACCCTAACCCTAGCCCATCGGAGCAGCAGTTCCAGCAAGCTTTTAGCTACGCGGTTCGCATCCTCTCCAGCCGCTTGACTCCTAAAATTGCTGCCGATGAGGCCGCCATGGCCGAGTCCATCAAACGCCAGTTGGCCACCCAAGGTAAGTCCTCCGAAGCCCTCACTTTTGCCGATCTCTTTTCAAAATTCTCCTCCAAAACCGGCCCTGGAAGTGTTAAAAACAAATGGGGTCTGCTCTATTTGATCAAAACCATCTCCGAAGATCGAATGTCCCGGAAAAGCCACCCACTTTCTGGGATTTCGGCTGGGGCCTTCAGCTCCGCTTTGACTGGTGGACTACCCTTGATATCTGAGGGACATTCAAATGGTAATTTTCGAGCTGGAACTCCGGCTTCAAACTCTGTGAGCACATTGGGGTTTCCTAAAAAATTGCGGGATTTGGATGGAAATTCAACCGGTGCAGGAAAAGGAGAGAAGATTGCTATTGATGGTGCATTAAGTGAGGATTCCAGGAATTCCAGGCGTCTGGTTGATAGTTCAAGGTTCATCAAAGGAAAGGAGGAAACAGTGAAGGGTTGGCATGGAGGGGTTTTGATGGTTTCAAAGGATCCTGAGAATATGCGTGATATGGCATATCACGAATTCACTAACTTGTTGAAGGAGGAGAATGAGGTGTCCGAGGAGGTTTTGGTGCGCGATGTCCTGTATGCTTGCCAAGGGATTGATGGTAGGTATGTCAAGTTTGATGGAAATGCCGATGGGTATGTTCTTTCTGATTTGGTAAAAGCTCCAAGAGCAATTAGAACCATGGTTAGGAAGCTCTGTGAGCTTGGATGGCTTTTCAAGAAAGTCAACAAGTATAACTCAGAATGCATGGATAGGTTCCCTGCAGAGGATATAGGAACTGTTGGACAAGCATTTTGTGCGGTCCTGCAAGATGAGCTGTCAGAGTATTTCAAACTGTTGTCGGTTCTTGAAGCACAAGCAATGAATCCCATCCCACTGGTTTCAGAAAATGCAACTTCGGGCAATTATCTGTCGTTAAGACGACTATCTGTTTGGTTTGCGGAACCAACAGTGAAGATGAGACTAATGGCTGTCTTGGTTGACAGTTGTAGAGTTTTAAAAGGAGGATCCATGGCCGGGGCTATCCACATGCATGCTCAGCATGGGGATCCACTTGTGAAGGATTTCATGAAAAGATTGCTCCATAGGGTGTGCTCTCCTCTTTTTGAGATGGTAAGGACATGGGTTCTTGAAGGAGAGCTCGAAGACTTGTTTTCGGAGTTTTTCATCGTTAGTCAACCAGTGAAAGCAGAGTCACTCTGGGGAGAAGGCTATCGCCTTCACTCTGCAATGCTTCCTTCATTCATCTCTCAGTCTCTCGCACAACAAATTCTAAGGACTGGTAAGTCAATAAATTTTCTTAGGGTATGTTGTGAGGATGGGGGTTGGGCTGAAGCAGCAAAGGAAGCCGCGGCAGCAGCAGGGACTACAACCACTAGGGGTAGTCTCAGGTATGGTGAGACGGACGCACTTGAATCTTTGGTCACAGAAGCAGCCAAAAGAATTGACAAGCATTTACTGGACGTGATGCACAATCGGTACAAATTCAAGGAACACTGTTTTGCAATCAAACGTTATTTGCTTCTTGGGCAAGGAGATTTCGTGCAGTACCTAATGGATATTGTGGGCCCTGATCTATCACAACCTGCCAACACAATCAGTTCGTTCAAGTTGGCAGGTTTATTGGAGAGTGCAATCAGATCATCCAATGCACAGTATGATGACCCTGATATACTTGACAGATTGAGGGTCAAAATGATGCCACATAACCCGGGTGAGAGAGGGTGGGATGTGTTTTCATTGGAATACGATGCTCGGGTCCCACTAAACACAATTCTCACAGAGTCTGTAATGGCAAGGTATTTAAAAATCTTCAATTTCTTGTGGAGGCTCAAGAGGGTGGAACATGCACTTACTGCTGCTTGGAAGACAATGAAACCAAACTGCATAACTTCACATTCCTTCTCTAATAAGTTGCCACGAGATGTGAAGTTGCGGTTGGTTTTGACGTCTAGGAAGTGTCAAGTTTTGTGGGATGAGATGAACCATTTTGTCTCTAATTTGCAGTACTACATCATGTTTGAAGTTCTTGAGGTGTCTTGGTCTAATTTACTTGTGGAAATGGAGCTAGCTAAAGACCTCGATGATCTCCTTGCTGCACATGAGAAGTATCTGTTTTCAATTGTTGAGAAATCTATGCTTGGAGAACGGTCCCAAGCTCTTAACAAGACTCTTTTTGTGTTGCTTGACTTCATATTACAGTTCCAGAGCCTCGTGGATAGATTATATGAAGGCATTAATGAGTTGCAATCCAGGTATTGATTGATTTTCTTTCTATATAATTGTAATACTCCCTCAGTCCCTCCGTCCCAAAAAGAAGTGTCTAGTTTAATGCTCCTCCACCAAACAGGACTAATTTTTATATGACATTCGGGACAGAGAGGGTATATTCTTTATCTTTACCGGGTGTTTTATTTTTCAAATCTAAAACCTTTATTATTATTAATTTGTTATTGTTATTATTGTTATGACAATCATCATCCTTCTAATTTCTCTGTGTTTGATCTGCAGAGCTGCAGACTCATCAACGACATCAAATGACCGAGTCAAAACACGAGGGCAGTCTAAATCTTCTTCAGAACCAGGTGGTGGTTCATCATGGCTTGGGGAGGGTAGGAAGGCTCTTACTCACAGGGTTGGTGAGTTTCTTCAAAAAACAGGAAAAGATATTGACACGGCCACCAAGGAATACTCATCCCTCTTTGAGGGGTTCATTTCACAGTTGCCCGTGCAACAACACATCGATTTGAAGTTTCTTATGTTCAGACTTCACTTCACAGAGTTTTACGGTCATTTACGTGGAAATACGGGAGGGAAGCTTCTATAGGGGTGTGCTGACATTTAACCACTACTACGTGATACCCAAAACTTCTCTATATGTCTGACTACAGGTACTGTATGCAATGGGTTGATTCACTTTGTTATTGCAGTTTGCAAGAGGCTTTCAGTTTTTCTTTACTGTGTTGCAAGTTCTTAGATAAGGCACGGGCATGTTTATGTGTTTTGCTTCTTATTCAATTCAATTGGTTTCTTTGGATACTTTTGGCTCCCCACCAAGTGTTTGTTCAGTCAGAGCTGTGGTTTATCTGTAACATATTTTTGTTTAGCCCAAATGTGTTAATTCTGTTTTGAGTGCCTTTCAAATGAAATGGCTTTATGGTTTCTTGTTTTGGCCAAAAAATGAGAAAGAAATGATATGCTTTATATTCAGTGTCATAGTCTGGCATATATATGCTGCTTGTGTATTTGGGATTTTGGGTGTATATTATGGCAACCACTTTAAATTGCAAAGTATATATGGCTTTCGAAGGCAGATTTTGTGGAACCCAAGGCCTCATTTGGATTGATTTGATGATTGAGATTGAATTATTGTGAATTGAATCATTCAAGATATGATAAAACTGCAATTAAAATGATGGGGAATTAACCCAATTCTCAAAAATTGTTCAAAACCCAGCGCGAATTGGAGGATTGTGATGCCTCCAATCTCAAAAATGGAGAAAAGCTAATAAACTCGTGATTCTAGAGTTTAAAGTCAATCGAAGCGAGGCCAAAAAGTTTCTATCGTCATATTCCATCATATGAGTCTTTCTTTCAAATGACTTTCCAAGCTAAAGCCACAAACAAGATCAGGGGAAAAATGAACTGAACCAGAAACCATCTTCAATAACTTCTTTGCAAATCCAAAACAAAATACAATAACAAACAAAAGCTTCTTCTTCTATATGTACAGAGATGAACATTGGTGCTCCATAATCAAGGAGGTCTGAGAGTGTTTTTAGGAGCACTAATCCAAGTGGAACCTGCAATTGCAAATCTCCATAATGCATTAACATGTTCTTGAGAAGCAAACTCAATGCCAACTCTTGGACCAACAAGTATTTCTTCTGGCTCTGGTCCATCTAAAATCTCTAGGCCACCTGCTCCACATTACCCCACACAAAATGAGTTGAGTGATGTCAAGTTGATCAACAAGGCATTGTCAGAATATATTTGTAAAGGGAACACTTGCCTGGTGTGTATAGAGGATGGTTAGACCATTCCTTTGATAACCCTAATGCTTGGCCAACCTACAAATGTACACAAAGGGAAGTTGTAGGATAGCAACAACCACCTCAGCATTCATAAATAGAAACGTTTTGCGTACTTTGCATAACAAGAGTAATCGAGATATAGGTTTCCAGTCCCTTAGCATTTAGATATACACAAGAATGGACGTCGGACATTATGAAACGAAAAAAAAATACACTGTGCATTTAGGTAACATGATAAACTTGTTCCAAAATTTAGGTAAACAATTTGTCAAAATTTGGCCATGAATTTCAAATTTGGTAGAGGTTGAGACTTGACACCATTCTAAATCGGTGTGCAGGTGTGGGCATATCACTATATCAGTTTGGTCAGTTTGGTTTTGAACATTGGAAAAGTAAAAAAACCAAACTGAGTAGCCAAAGTCGGGTTCTCTTTTGTCAAATCCAGTCGGGTTTTGTTTGCTTCGATATGTTCCGGTCGGCTTTTGTCAGTATGATCGCTTTCAACTCATAACCTTAAACAGGTAACCGAACATCATATCATTTGGTTTAACAGTCATAATTTCGAGGACTGAAGTTTGGCTAGAATTTCGACCAGTTTTGAAATTCACCACAAAATTGACATTTTTTCTAAAGAGAGGACTAGTTCCCAATAGTCATGCAAGAAATTGAACTTTGTAGGTAATTAGGCATATTAAAACTGAGGTTGTAAAGCACCTTTCCAGGTCCAGTAAGAAGAAGAGGCTTCTCAGTTTGTAAACCACGTCTCCGTTGAATGGTTTCCAGCCCTGCATACATAGCCGTTAGAGCAAAGGGGCATTCATAACCCACAAGATACACAGTTTAAAGAAGTTGAAATCTTTTGATAATATATAGATTAGTAGAATTACCATGAACAGGAGCACAAGAACGAATCAAGACGCATGCTCCAATGCCTTCTTTGTCTGCAACAACATTGAGCATGAAATGGATCCCATAGCAGAGGTATACATATGCATGTCCACCGCGACCAAACTGTTTGTCAAATACATGGCAAAATACATCTCTTTTAAAATAAGGAATGCCACACATTCATTCCAATTACCAGAAAAAGTAGAAAAGAATCAGTGGATTATGAATAGGTTTACATTCTTGTGTTATTGTACCTACATCATTGTGTATGTCTTATGGTTTACCAGAACATGCATTTTTGACAATTAAGCATTGAGCACTTTTTAACAAGCAGTTTGAGTCAATTCTGATGCAACACCATTTTCATAGCCATTTCACAGACAGTCTTCTAACAAAAAAAGGCACATACAAATCTTGCATCACAAAAAAGCTGAATCAAATGGTTATAATGGCTCATCGTCTGTACAGGCAGATGGGTTCATTTATATTGTACTATTTTCCTTAACTACTTTGAATTGTAGAGTAGACATAAGCTAAGATTGCAGCCATGAAATCCTACCACAGGGGCAGTCCTTCCTGTCACCCCGAATCGACCGTGGCTGGCAGAATCATCTGGCCTATAAGCTTCCACCTAGAACTTATTAAGTTAGCCCACATCATACAAATATAAACATACAACAAACATATAGTCCCTTCGCCCCAAAATGAAGTTCCTATTCACAATTCAGAGAGTAAAACTTTATCTATCTTTTGTCTATTTTCATTACTCATTTGATAAAAATGACATTTGCAATAAATAGTACTAAAACATGTCATTTCCCAATGTAATACTCAAACTTTTTCATTTCCTAAATAGTACTTAAATAATGTCTAGCGGCGAGAACAATGTCCAGCAATTGTGGACATTTAGTTTGAATAATGTGTGGTGGCGGTGGACATTTACTTGAACAATGACAAGTGAACATTGATCAGTGGTACTAAATTGAGAAATAAAAGCATATGGTACTACATTGGGAAAGTCACTATGTTTTAGTACTATTTAAGTAAATTCTCCTTATAAAATCATATAGTCATGTCTCATGTGGTCCTACACCACATTTGATATCATTTTAAAATATATACGGAGTATATTTTTAGTTTCAAACCAATTTTCAAATATATTAAATTGAAAATAATTTCAGTCACTAGGCTGAACTCTAGGAATTCATAACCTAGAATAGCCTAATTTCACCTCCATCCAAATAGACCGTTAGTGCCAGAAGAAGAAGAACAGCTGCAGTAATTACCTCGGCAATCTGAAGAACAACGTCGTCTCTCCTCAGGAACTTGCCGAGCAGGCGCGGGGCGAGATCTAGAGCGTCGATTTGGAAGAAATCTGGTGGCAAGATTGTCCATTTCTTCAAGAAATCCGACAGGGAACAGCTAAATCGAGGTTGTGAATTAGGTATAGTAGATATGGTGGTGCGCTTTTCCTTGTTGGCGGATTTGGGCGAAGAACTGGTGGCTTTCGTTGAGATTTTCCTGGTCGGATTTTTGACGGGTCGACCTTTCTTCATAATTTTGCACTGGAGAAACACACCGCAATACCGCATTCAGTCCCTCCCAGAGGACTAAACTGTCTTCGTCGGGTTTAGTTTTGGCGGGTGTTGCCCAATTAGGCAATTAAGGTAAATTTGCATCCTAATATTTTACATACATGGATCCCAAAGTACATTATTCACTTGGGCAATGCTTGGTGTACCCCCAATTGTACACCAAGACAACACAGACACACACAGAGACAAAATGTCTGTGCAACACAGACACAAAGTGTCTGTGTGTGTCTGTGTTGGCTTGGTGTACACTTGGGATAACCTATGTTGGTGTACTCCTAGTTTAATTCTATTCACTTCTATCACATGTTTAGTGTAATTTGGAGTAACCATAGTAAAAAGTAAAGTGTAAATATCATTTATCCAAAATTAATACTCCGTTTTTGAACGCCTCTACAAGGATATTGAGGAGAAAGGCAGTGTTAATCCACTGTTCCGGCTTGCTAAGCTGCGTGAGAGGAAGGCCCGAGATCTAGACCACGTGAGATGCGTGAAGGACAGCGATGGTAGAGTGTTAGTTGAGACTGCCAAGGTGGCTAAGCGCTGGGGGGAGTACTTTGTTGAACTCTTAAATGCGGGAGGAGACCAGAGGCTAGTTCTTGATGAGTTGGGACATCTTGGGGCGTCTCGTGTGTATTGCCGGCGCATTTGCCTGGAAGAGGTGGTTCGGGCTCTACGCGTGATGCGTAGTGGGAGAGCTTTGGGACCAGATGAGATTCCGGTGGAGTTTTGGAAGCATGCGGGTCGTGGTGCGTGGGTTTGGTTAACCAAACTCTTCGATGTTATCCTCCGGACAGCAAGGATGCCTGATGAGTGGAGGGAGAGTCTCTTGGTCCCTCTGTTTAAAGGCAAAGGTGACATTCAGAGCTGCGAGAATTACAGAGGCATCAAACTGCTTAGCCACACCATGAAGGTTTGGGAGCGAGTCATTGAGTATAGGGTGCGGAAAGGGGTTTGCATCTCTGAGAACCAGTTTGGTTTCATGCCTGACAGATCGACTACAGAGGCCATTCATCTCGTGAGGAGGTTAATGGAAGAGTATAGGGCTAGGAAAAAGGACTTTCATATGGTGTTTATTGACCTTGAGAAGGCGTGTGATAGGGTGCCAAGGGAGGTCTTATGGAGGTGTCTTGAGGCGAGAGGAGTTCCCATCGTGTACACTCGCGCGATCAAGGATATGTACGATGGGGCTATGACCAAGGTAAGGACTTCCGGGGGCGACTCAGATTCCTTCTCGGTAGGGATGGGGTTGCACCAGGGGTCTGCCCTTAGCCCTTTTTTGTTCGCCTTGGTGATGGACGTCCTAACTCAAGGTGTTCAAGACGAGGTCCCATGGTGCATGCTTTTCGCGGACGATATTGTGCTTATCGACGACACACGTGAGGGACTAAACGATAAGTTGGAATTATGGCACCTTGCCCTTGAGACTAAAGGATTCAGAATAAGTAGGAACAAGATTGAATACATGGAATGTCGTTTCAGCAGCCGGGATACAGAATCAGAGGTGGAAGTCAGGATTGACTCTCACCTAGTACCTAAGGTAGACAGGTTTCGATATCTTGGCTCGGTAATCCAGGCGGATGGGGAGTTAGATGCGGATGTTGGACATCAGGTTGGAGTGGCTTGGGCCAAATGACGGTTAGCTTCAGGGGTGTTGTGTGATCTGAAGATTTTGCCTAGAATGAAAGGTAAGTTCTATCGATCCGTAGTCAGACCTGCTATGTTATATGGGGCAGAGTGTTGGGCGGTTAAGAAGACTCATGTGCGTCGTCTGCATGCAGCGGAGATGTGGATGTTACGATGGATGTGTGGGAAGACAAGGTTGGATAGAATTTCGAACGAAGTTATCCGACGTCAGGTAGGTATGGCACCGGTGGAAGACAAGTTGCGGGAAGCGAGGTTGAGATGGTTTGGCCATGTGAGACGGCGGGATGCTGACGCCCCTGTACGGAGATGCGAGAGGATTACGGTTATCGGGGGAAGTAGGGGAAGGGGTAGACCTAGGAAGAACTGGAAGGAGGTGATTAGGCAGGATTTAGGACTTCTCGACCTGACTGAGGATATGACCCTAGATATGAACCTTTGGAAAACTAGGATTAGAGTAGCTGGATAAGAGCTCGATATTGTAGAGGCTGTTTTGTAGTGTGTTGTATTTGTTTGGAATCTTCTGCTATTGTTTGTACTTGTTGCTTGTACTTGGTGCTTTATCTGTGCTATACTGTGTTCCCTTCCATATTTTTGTGCAGGTGGAGCCGGGGGTCTCTTGGAAACAGCCTCCTTACTTCCGAGTAGGGGCAAGGTCTGCGTACACACACCCTCCCCAGACCCTACTGTTATGGAATTCAACTGGGTTGTTGTTGTTGTTGTAATACTCCTCCCTAAGTCACACACCTCCCATAGAGTGCTTCTTTGGTACACCTAAAGTTTAAAATTTTTTTGTGAAATTTCTCATATAAAAATTAGTTTTTTAATTTTTTATTAAAATAAAAATAAAAATGATTATTTCAACATTAAGCAAATGCTTATCAGCCTTATGCAAATGCTTTTGCATTAGAGAACACTTTTATTGGAGTCGTTCTAACCTTTTCTCATTCACTATCTCCATATTATTGTATTCATCTAGTTTATTTTTTCAGTTGATCTGAACAAATCTTGTACACCAATTTATCCATTCCTAATTTCCTTTTTAGGATTTCGCAAGTAAATATGAATTGTCTATTTTGGTTTGGCTATCGATTCCAAATAAGTATCCACTATGCACGCTTCCCCCAAAGTCCAAATTGTTGAATCTTAGTTGGGGAGCGTTGTGAAGTTAAGATAAGTAGAGAGTGCAAAGAATAGTTACGAGTTTGATTCTTAACAAATAGAATTTCTGGAACTATATTTATCAAAGTTTAATTTACATTTTTTCAAATTTGTTGGGGTTGTTTTGTCTCTCTCCGCCCTTGAGCTTCTAGATCCTTGCGGCTGTGGATACTTCCAGATTCCCATACTACCTATTTTTTTCCCCAATTGCTCACTACTCTGAATCTCACTCAGATTTCTCTTATTTGTATGTTTCGTTGACTTGAAACAGCAATAACCCTGTTCATCGGCGCCGCCGGCGGAGAATGGCCAAGTACGGCGAAGGCGACAAGCGTTGGATCGTGGAGGAACACGCCAAGGGATCCAGGGTGTTACATTTTGAGGAGCAATGGCCAAGGGAGACGGCCAACATTAGTTTGTGGACTCTTGGTGGAAGATGCAGGCCCTTCCAAAGCTACGTAATTTTATTTGGCGAGGTTTGAATGATGTGTTCTCGGTTAGAGTCAATTTGTGGAAGAAGCATGTGAATGTTGCAACTATATATGCTTAAGATGTTGTGCGCCAGAAGAGTCTGCAGTTCACTGTCTTATTGAGTGTACCTACGCATGTGAATGTTTGGTGAAAATTGGCTGCAACTTTACAAGGGAATTATCAAAATTGATTACAAAGTCTAAATTAACTTGAGGTGCAATTGAATGGGAGTGTGAGTATGTTTGGGTCGGGGCAGAGAGATTTATCAGGGAGCAGAATCTATCACTTTTACGAACAAAATATTGTAACGACCTCGAATCATCAATGATATGAGATTCTAGAATCATGAATAACATGGCCTTACTTTTTTAACTCACCAAAGAAGCCTTAAAATTACACCCAAATAAAATGGACATCTAGTTTGTTGGGCCGGAGAATACTCGTAATTAATTTGAAAAACAGGACAGGTTTAGTTTTGCCCTTATTTTGGACGCATTTTGTTCCGCAAGCACTGTACCGTTAACTTTTTCAATGCGAAATCTATCCTCGCCGACTTCACCGTAACTCGATCGCTTTCATATCTAAGAAAAAGTTACCCCCTCTCTCTCTCTCTCTTCTTCTTCTTCTTCATAAGCCGCTAATTCCAGCAGGACAGAACGCCTCAAAGATGGCTGATACTGCAAAGTATGCTCCCATTAATGGCGGAAATCTGCTCTCCGAACTTAAACCGCATTTCTCTCTAATCAAAGCCCAGAGAACCAAGGTTTGCGCCTTCGGATTCGTCTTCGTCTTCATTGCTTTCACTATTTTCCTGGCTTTCAGCCCTTCCCCCAACTCCTCTTCTCCCTGGTTCACCAACATATTCTCTTTAACTGGAAGCACCGACGGCGGCGGCGGGACTCTGCCTGCGCCGCCTTCCTCCGATGACTCTTCCAGATCTCAGTTCTCTTCTATTTTCTCCTACTTTTTCCCGAATTCCTCCGTCCAAACTCAAAACCTTACTTCTCCTCCTCCGTATAATCTCCCAGCATCTCAGAAGAACAGTTCCGGAGTGCTCGATGTCAGTACAGATCCAGAAATCGCGAGAAATCAGACGCGCTCTAATACTGATACTGATAGTGCTCAAGTTATGAAGCCGTCGAATCAGAGCGCGGTTTTGAACGCAACTGCTTCTTCTAGGTTGAACAACGAGTCATCAACTGTAAGCAATCTCCCTCGGAGTGGAGTGTCCGATGATGGTAAAGTTGGAGTGTTGAACTCAAATCGGACTACTGCAACGGACGAGGGTGAAAAATCTCCGGCGAATCAGACTGTCGGTTCGCCGCCTAAGTCCAGTTCCGAGGGAGGGAAGGAGAATTTGGAGAAGCAACACAGCAACAATACCGGAAACAAAACGGAAAATTCCAGTGTGTCGGTGGCACAGGGGAGTGAGGATTTGATGAAATCACTGTCCAGTTGTGATTTCTTTGATGGGAATTGGGTCATGGATGAATCTTACCCATTGTACAAGCCTGGTTCTTGTTCTCTCATTGACGAGCAATTCAACTGCTTCATCAATGGCAGACCTGATAAAAATTACCAGAAATATAGATGGAAACCCAAAGCTTGTACTCTTCCAAGGTAATATGCAGTTTAATAATCTTTATTTATTTATTTATTTTTTTGTTGGGTGAATTTATTTTTTGTTTAATTAGTACCTAATTCGGAACACGGAACATCTTACTGACTGATTATTATATTTGTCTTCTAATCTATTATAGATTCATTTTCTTTCATGGGTAGTTACAAGTCTTCATATTATGTAGAGTTAATGTTCTTTTTTACTAATATTGGAACCATTCATGGAATGGTGGCAAGATTCCAATTTTGGAATGCTAGATGGAATGCATTTTTGTTGGAATAAAGTTTCATGTTCCCTCTTGCTAGTGTTTGGGAAAAGGACTTCATCTATGCAGAATATAATGTGTTCTGAACTTGATTGCAGATTGAATGCCACTCATATGCTGGAGATGTTGAGAGGGAAGCGATTGGTGTTTGTTGGTGATTCTCTGAATAGGAATATGTGGGAATCTCTTGTCTGCATTCTTAGAAACTCTGTAAATAATCAGACCAAAGTTTATGAAGAATCTGGCAAACAATACTTTCGTGGAGAAGCTTCCTACTCTTTTGTGTTTGAAGTGAGTAGTCTAATTGAAGCCACTCCATAGTTTTCTTTTAGTGTATAGATATATGTTTTTCCCCTGTTTGTGTTTGGGGAATTGGTTTATTTCTGATCCGAATGTATGGATTTGCAGGAGTATAAGTTTAAAGTGGAATTCTTTGTATCTCCATTCTTGGTTCAAGAATGGGAAATAACAGATGAAAGTGGAAAGAAAAAGGAAACACTCCGACTTGATTTAGTGGGGCATTCTGCTGACAAATACGAAAATGCAGACATCTTGGTATTCAACACGGGCCACTGGTGGACGCACGAGAAGACTTCTAAAGGGTAAATATATACTGAGTAGATGTTTGGTCATTGGAAAAGAACAGTTGATCAGCTCTTCCTCACAAAAGTGGGATAATCCAACATCATTTAATGTTTCAGGGAGGATTATTACCAAGAAGGCAGTCATGTGTACCATGAACTAAATGTTCTTGAGGCTTTCCGGAAGGCTTTAACGACATGGGCAAGATGGGTAGATGCCCATATAAATCCTGCAAAAACCCTTGTTCTCTTCAGAGGCTATTCTGCATCTCATTTCAGGTAAATGACAAAGAACATCAATTCAATACTCGTAGAGCCTGTGTAGTGACTTTGTTTAAGTTACACATTTCTTGATCCATCCATCTAGTGCCAATTTTGTGTCATTTTATCAATCTTTAATTAATGTGTACAATTTAACGTTTATATATGTCTATGTTACAAAAGCGGCGGGCAGTGGAATTCGGGCGGGGCATGCGACCATGAAACTGACCCAATAAAGAATGAGACATACCTAACACCATACCCTCCCAAGATGGAAGTGTTGGAGAGAGTACTGAAAGGGATGAAGACTCATGTCTCATACCTTAATGTCACGAGAATGACAGATTTCCGGAAGGACGGCCACCCATCAATGTACCGGAAACAACATTTGTCCGACGAGGAACGAAGATCCCCATTGAGTTACCAAGATTGCAGCCATTGGTGCCTCCCTGGGGTGCCTGATATCTGGAATGAAATCCTTTACGCAGAACTCCTTGTAAACCAATACCAGAAACAACACCAATCCAAACCTTAGGTAAAGTGGTTGACACACACAAGACAGGCCTGAGATTTTTTTTCAATACATGCCTACAGTTTACAGGTAAAAATGTGTATTCATCTAAATCCCGTTTTTTCGTTTAGTTTCCACTTACCAATTCCCAGTCCCTGCACATGAAAGATAGAAGTCATAAAACACCCAGAGAAAATTCAAGAAAGGGTACTTCCATGTCATGATTTATTTGGGAGAGCGAGATTTAAGTGTTTGGAGATTACTTTTATTTCCAACACTTAAAAATCTCCAGTTTTCACGGGCATTGTTGTTTGTGCATTTTGTGTGACGAAAAATTCTGGGTCCACTAAATGCACAAATGACAATGCTTCAGTGGTCACTGTGACTTTCTTTTCCCTTCAAAACCCGGATAGAAAATCAATCCCGTGCGGGTTCGATCCATTTCCGATTCGTGTTTAATGAATTATGGCATGGGATGTACTCTATTTTGTAATTCTGATATCACACATCTCTGGTTGATGTTGTAAATTCTTCCTATTGTAACAGTCATACTTTTGAATGAATGCTTTATGTGAACTGTGAAGAGTGAAAGCAAAGACTTTCTATATACATATTTTTGTTGCGTCATCTCTGTACAATTCAGTGTTTCCTGAATCATTTGTTAAATGGTTTTTGGTTGACAAAACATGAAAAATACAACTAATGAGCTGCCCTTATTTTTTCAAACTACTATTTACTTTTGGTCCACCAATCACGCACTTAATTTTGACTTGTGACATTTTGGTTTTTCCTTTGCTGAAATTATATGGACTTTTTACATCTTTGTCACTACTTTTTCTTCTCCTTCACATTGTTCTTTTTTACCATCTTTTATTATGAAGGATTATATCAGGGTACAAATCGACACTTTTATTTTATGGAAATATAGATTTTGGTATCGTTACGTGGTGCACTTTTTTCCTCCCTTTTTTATGATCGAAGTTAATATTTTTCAATTTTATCTCTCTTTTTTTGTTGATACATTAGAAATTGTTTTTACAAGGTAGAGTTAATATTTTTCAATTTTATCTCTCTTCAATTTAATACGGATGCCACTTCCATATTACTCGCTCCCACCCAATAAAATCCTTACGTTTTGATTTTCATGCGTTTAAGGTGTTGTTGTAAACCACCATTTAGCATTTGTTCACTTCATTAGTTACATAGTTTGTTAGTTAGTTAGAAAGATATTTTTAGTTGTTACTTGTTTTTCATTTTTTATATATAGGAGTTAATCATGTAATACAAAGTTGAACGTTTTGATTTTCATGCGTTTAAGGTGTTGTTGTAAACCACCATTTAGCATTTGTTCACTTCATTAGTTACATAGTTTGTTAGTTAGTTAGAAAGATATTTTTAGTTGTTACTTGTTTTTCATTTTTTATATATAGGAGTTAATCATGTAATACAAAGTTGAGCTAGTTAATACTCATTTCAGAATAAGGGTGTCTTTGGTTAGAAGGAAGAGGAGGTGAGGGGAAGGAAAGTATGTAAAGGTTGTTGTTGGGTATCTTCAGTTAGAAATCACACTAAATAGGACTAATATATAAAGAAAAGTATCAAAATAAAACTTTTATATTTTTTTCTCGAAATAGAATTTTGTATTGTGCTAATGTAGCACTGTACATTTGCACATTACTATATTTTTTGGGTAATGTACACAGTGGCGGAGCCAGATTTTGGGTATAGTGGGGTCAAAGTTTGAATAAAAAGTTAAGGGGAATAGTTTTATTTAAAAAAAAATTAATATGCTTCCTGGTGGATTTCGAACTCACGCTTGGTGGGGGCAACTTGTAAGCATTTATCCAAGTCTGCTAAGCAAAATAGTTATCAATGCAATACAAATATACTTAGTTATCCTGATTCAATGGGTGCAACTGCACCCACTTGCCCCTATGTGGCTCCGCCACTGAATGTACATGATCATGTTTGGTAATGTAAGTCTTATTTCAGGAATAAAAACATAAAAGTCCTATTTTGGTATATTTTCAATGTTTTAGTCCTATTTTGGTCTTCTCCCATCTTTGGTTTTGTGATAAGAACTCACATTTCCTATCGTTATTAAAAATATACTCTGGAATATCATAGAATATTCCAAAATTCACTTGCTCCAGTATCTTTTCTTTGTCTTTTCTTCAAAAATTGTTGTTGGGTACTTCTAATTTTGTAGAAAGAACTTCTAGGTCCAATCTTTTTCAAGTATATACTATGGGAAACACTAAAATATCCAAAAAATTATTCTGGAAGAACTTTCTTTTTTCCGTTTCTTTATTATTACTATTATTATTATATTGTTATTATTATAAAATTATTATTATTATTATTATTATTATTATTAGTATTATTAGTATTACTATTACAATTACAATTACTATTACGTAGTATTATTTCTACGGTTGTTGTTGTTGTTATAATTATTAGGAAAAATTACCCAAAATAATCCTAACTTTACCCCGTCTTTCAAAAATAATTACACTTTTCACTGTAATGCATAACAATCTCAACTTTACTGAAATTTGCCAGTTTTGGGTCGTCGTTAAGTTTCTAACGGAGGGTTAACAAAAATGCCCGTTTTAGGCAACAAAATGAAAGTTGGAATTATTTTTTATGAATTTTCATTTTTTTATTTTTTTAAAATTTTTCATTTAAATTTTTAAAATTACTTTCTACCTCCATCATCATTTCTTTTTCCTTTTTTTAAAGAATAGTCTTAGTTTTAAAAATAAAAATTATAGATATAAAAAATGAAAAAATGAGAAATGTATCTAAAATGATACAAAAATAAAAAAATAAATAAGGTAATCAATGGAAACTAACTTGAAATTGGTAAAAGTAAAATAAAAATGTAGGGTGGGTTTTAATATTTTACGCATTATACAAAGTATTAACATATCACTTCTTATTTTTTAGAAAAAATTATCTACAATAATTCCAACTTTATCGGATAGCTTGTTCTTCTAAAAAATAAGTAATACATTAAGACTCCGTATAGTATATAAAATATTAAACCCACCACTCCGTATATATTTATTTTATTTCTTACCAGTTTCTGTTTAATTTCAATTTATTACATTATTTATTTGATTAATTTTGTATGGTTTTAGTTATTTTTCTCATTTTCATTATTTTTTATATCCATTTTTTTTCTAAGGTAAGAATAATCTTTAAAAAAGAAAAAGAAATGAAGGTTGAAAGTAATTCAAAAAAATTAAATAAAAATTTCAAAAAAATTAAAAAACAAAAATTCATCAAAAATAATCCCAACTTTCATTTTGTTGCCTAAAACGGGTATTTCCGTTAACCCTCCGTTAGAAACTTAACGGCGACCCAAAACTGACAAATTTCAATAAAGTTGGGATTATTATGCATCACAGTGAAAGGTGGGATTATTTTTGAAAAACAGGGGTAAAGTTGGGATTATTTTAGGTAATTTTTCCTAATTATTATTATTATTCACTTCGCCATTGTCTTCTACAATTCTCACTGGCCACCGTTGTTGCATATTAAGTCGCGCTAGATTATCGCCGCACACACTCTAATGATGATGATGATGATGATGATGATGATGATGATAATAATAATAGAAGAAGGAAAAAAGGGAAGTCTTTCCAGAGTAAGTTTTTTGATATTTTAGAGTACTCCGGAGTATATTTTAAAAAAACGATGCGATCTGAAAGTTCTTTCTACAAAATTGAGGATATTTAACATCAATTTTTGAAAAGAAGATGAAGAAAAGATAACGGTGCAAGTGGAAATGACAAAGGGAAGGACGGAAAGTCCTTCCAGAGTTAGGTTTCAGATATATTAAAACCGAGGAGACTTGTGAGTTCTTATCACCAACCTAGGGTACCGTAGCAATTTTTTTTAGAAACTAAGCCCCAGTCCTTGTTTGGTTAACAAAAGTTAAGGGGAAGGGTCCAAAAAGAGAAGAACCTGGTTCATGGTGCCAGACAGCTTTGTACAACCCTCAATTCCACGCTTTAATGTTCATTATAGCCATTGTAGCATGTTGATGGAGAACTTGTTGTCGAAGCCAGGAGTGGCTTAGTGCCCGGGGAGGGGGGGGTCACAAATTCATTATGTCACAAAATTTTATAACTTCTTAAATTAAAAGTAAAAAAATAAGCTTTGTATTTTCAATGTATGGCATGTTGAATTTGAATGAAATATTGTGTGCTTTTAATCCTGTTGGTATGTAATTCTGTGTGGGTTTCGAGACTTGTGAGAGTGTTGACGAGTTGTAAGTTGTAAAATTACCCCTTACGGGTTGCCTGGGTAGGTCTCATAGAGGTGCGTAAGTTATATTCCTACGCCTTTTCATTGGAAATATCCTTAGGACTCTCGGAGCGACGCTTCCGTCTTTCGCATCAACAAATATATTGAGCGAGTAAACAAAAATAATGTGTAATTCGTTTTTGTTTAGTGAACATATAAGCCTCCATTGAAGAGTGACTGTATGATATTCCTTGTATCTAATGTTGTATGGTAGTATTACTCAGCCATCACAGATTTGGTGTACAGCTTATTACCTCTCTCGATCAAATATCTTTGTTTGATGACCCACCATATATTTTGTGGCTAATCTATTCTTTTCTCAAAGATTTTCCCTCACTGTTCATTGTTTCTGTGTATGTGGTAACGTGGTATCAATAGCACTTTTCCTAAGTTTGCAACTAATAACTACTTATAGTGATTCAATCAAACTTCATTGGATTTGCCACATTATTACGCACACAAGTTTTAGAGAGTTATATGCCAATAAAAACAATATATTGAAACTGTATATTGTATCCACAGCTACAAGTTGTGCATATACTGACTTTTATTGCACATTGAACAGATGAAAAACAAAAAAAACAAAAAAAGTTACAACATACAAATTTTAAAAAGGTACTCACTGCTCAATGGAGAATGATAAACATTGAAGTTTTAGGAGATTACTATCAGTATAAGTAGAGCATTCAGGTTGAGATTAGTAGAGTCTCCTCCTCCTCGGCGGGCGCGAATCACCGCTGTCCACATCCGCGATTCTTCTCCAGGACGAATCGGTTTCCATGACCGTGTCGCCCGTCTGACCCTCGGACTGAATCATGGCGGCAATGCTGGATACCGAATCTCTGTCATCAACAATCCCAAACACCTCTTGGTTTCTTTCAAAAGGATTGTTGCGAAGATACGCTTCAAAAGTGTTCGGTTGCTCCCGACGCATTCCCCTTGAGGTGAGGATGCGGGCCAGGAGCGAGTTTCGTCTCTCGGGTGATTCTTCAAGATTGGCGGTCGGGTCGAATCGGCTCCCAAGCCGGCGGATCATCTCCTCCACGGGTATGGAGGAGAATGCCGACCTTTGGATGGTTTGCCTCCAGCTCTCATGCCGCGTGGCTTGAGGCCTTTGGGGGATTTTCAAAGAACCCTCGGCCTCAACGCACGGTGAGGGGGTCCCACCCCCACCACCACGGCCATAGATTGGGGTCACGGTCTTTGCCGTGACTTCCCCCTTGCAGACCGGACACTCCCTTGCATTGGAGTGAAGGTTTAGCC